TGGAAACACGACACCAGTGCATAAGACAAGTAGACGTTTACTCGTTCGTGTGTAACCGCGGCGACGGCAAAACGAGGTGGAGGCGTGGCTGTCAACTGGGCTGTGCCGACGGCAGATGCCGCAAACGGACGCTGGTGGGAATCACACAGTCCATTGCAGGACGTGTATTCGGGCGGGAGAGTCAACAGGCGAGTCTGAAACCGACAGATGAGCATATCCCAATACCAGTCGACCGAATCTCGTCTAAACACACGGCAAAGTTGGTGCATGGGAGGGGGGGGTTTTCAACGGATGCGACCAGACTGTAATGCAATATTGTTTTGTGCAGGAATCGACGTTTTTTACCTCGTTTTATGCCTAACTCACATGTACTACCCACATATTTATAGTAGTCTGACCAATCAAAAACGAATTAATATATATTTTATTTGTTGAGCATTCGACCACTCGACCGATCTGTTGATCTTTTCGGCGAGTACATTTAGAACCTCTCTACAACTCGCTGTTGATGTGCAAAAATTAACAGGTTAGTTTTCGAAAAAAACAGTCTGCTTATGTATGAAGTAAGACTGGGCTCTGAAGAGTCCCTTAATAGACTGATTTTAGAGTACTTTTTCTCTCATTTGAAGAAAAAGTGGAAGTGGAAGTGACTAGTAAGTCGCCTCACCAGAAGCTGAAGAGGGATTGCCTTGGAGTTGTGAGTGTAGATTTGTGCAAATAAGACTCCGACTCAGTCCTACAACCCCAATGAATCCTTTTTTGAGCATTCGTCCGTCATGCGAAGGACATCGTGACAGTGAGAAACGAATAATCAGCAAAAAACAGTAAATCAAAAAAGGTGGCCAGCTACAATTTTACCTGCATTTTACAGCCAAACTTGGTGCACTTAATAAGACATATCATGATTTGATTAGGAATCCCATCATTTCCATACACGTCCATGACGTGTATTAATCAGGTTCGCGGGACTCTGACCAGAGGACTTATCCGCACAAATCCATAGTCACAGCGCCATGGCAACCCGTCTAAATCTTTCGGTGGTAACAACTTACGAATTCCTTCTCCTCACCTCTTCAAACGGTATGAAAGGTATTCTAGCATCGTTAAATGACATGTGATGGTTAGTAGTTAGTAGTAAGTCGGCGTGTGCAATGAGGCATGCCGAAGCCGGCATTAATATGTAAAATTCACAGGCAGATGATCACATACTTTGTCTGGCATTCCATCAAATTACGGGTTGGTCGTTCTCGGGCCGGACTGTCTGGGTCCGGATGCATTAACAGTCTGCTGGTCGGATATGTCCCCCTCTGCTCTGCGGTCCGGCTAAATTAATTCACATTTTACACGATTGCGAGAGCATGAGAAGTTGGCCAAAGGAGATTGAGTCAACACAATCATATCTCTTTCGTCCATAAGGCAGAATGTCTGTGGCATAATCACCGCATGTTTCTATCCATTCACTTAGTCAGAAAAAGCCCGGTATGACTTGATTTTTCACGTCACAGCATATTCAATTTTGGTATTTTAGTTGTGACAACCTTAATTACGAGGACCTCCGTACTTTTAGTCGACTGCTGCCAACTAACCTCAGTTAATCATGCGTATGGCAACTGGAATTTGAGGAATCTCTTAATGTAGCAATGTCGATCTGGCTTTCATTTTGACTGTAGTTGTACGATAACGAGATTCCCATGCCGAACTGGACGCTTTGCTGCCAGGTTACGCATGGATCCTCAAGAGAACCATTATATTCTTTAATACTACTACTACTAATAGTATTATTATGTTATACTATTAGAAATATTATTATTATTATGAATAATTATAATAGTCC